TTCCTGTGGCACTGCCCAGACTGTTCCCTGTGGCACTGCCCAGGCTGTTCACTGTGGCACTGCCCAGACTGTTCCCTGTGGCACTGCCCAGGCTGTTCCTGTGGCACTGCCCAGGCTGTTCCTGTGGCACTGCCCAGACTGTTCCTGTGGCACTGCCCAGACTGGGAGTTCAGGAGCCTCTGGGGGCCCCCAGCACCAGCAGCTTTGCCAAGAAAATCCACTTTAACCCCCCTCACAGCCCCCTCCTGCAGAGCACTTCGGATTTCCACAGAAAGCCCAACAATGCCAAAGCCAGAACTCTCCAACTGCAGCTTTTTTAGGCTGTTTGAAGTGTGATCCACCAAGCCCAGAAAAGCCAGATCCCCACTCCTCTGGCTCAGCTGCCACTCCCATCAATCCCAAATTATTGGCTGTTTTGCAACCTTCCCACTCGACACATGTGGGCACTTCCAGACCACACCAATAAAGTCCAGGGCAGTTCAACCAACCCAAGCTGCCTCTCACAAAGCCCCGAGTTCAGCTTAGCCAGGCCGACACAACCACCACTCACTGGAGCACAGCAACTTAAACACATTCCCCTCTCCAGCCTCCACTGCTCCTGAGTGACCAAAACCCTTCATTCTGCCCCAAAAGCTGCTCTGCTTTCAGCACTTCATCTGTACAAACAGCACACGGGGAGGAGGGGGAGAGAAAACCACATTTCCCAAGGTTTTGATGCCACAGAATTCCAGCCCGTGGTGTTATTTTTATTCCTCATTTCCAGGTTTTATACCCCATGTTTAATTACCTTCAGGATGATGCAATTTTTCTCTACAAACCCCCCAAAAAATTCCTCTGCTGGCTTTTCTCTCTCCCTTCATTAGCAGCGTAGGTGTTTCCACTGAGAGGTTATTTATATCTGGGGGAAGATTTCACAGCTCCCTCTCTTATCCAGGTCTTTTTTTCCATTCTTTTTTTTAAAAGCGAAACAATTCATCACTCAGCACTTTGCCAGTTGGGTCCTCCCAGCTCAGCAGGAAGGATTTGCATCTCCTCCTCTCTCCAGCTCAGCTCCCCTGGCTACACCTCTCACCAACAGGAAGAGACAAGTCACTCTTGGAGGAAACCAAGGGAAAAAAAAACAGCAAAACTAAGGCTGAGCTACAAGGAAGAGAAAATTTACATCTGAAAGCAAAAGTGCTCTGGGGGAGGAGGGGAAAAAAAGAAAAAAAAGCACGGTGTTGGTGGAGTTTCAAAGGCCCATTTTCCTCCCCAGGCAGCTCCTGACACTTCAAAGGCACCTCCAGCACTGGGCCTGTGGTGCCATGAGGCAAAGTGGAGCAGGAGCTGCCTCAGCACCAGGTCATCCTGCATCCAAGGGAGAGGAAACCTCAGTCACCTCTCCCAGAGCACCTCCCAGAGTGCTGAACACCAGCACTGCTCTGACACAGCTCCCTCAGTTCCCGGTGCTCTGACACAGCTCACTC